AACACAATGATTATTATTCATCAATGAATTAAGTCAAAGGGTTGGGCTTGTGACCTGAAGATCTTTAATTGATTCTTTAATGAGGGGCATTTTGCGTCGGCGGCACAGCGGTTGAATGCTCGCTAACCATGCATGTAGTCCGGGGTTTGATCCTTGGCCGACGCACTCCTAAACCTCCCTAGGCCATTAAGAAAACTAGTAAAGAGGGAAGGTTGGTCATGAGGCGAGCATCCCCATCACATAAGAATAAACACCACTGCTACCAAAACTTCAAGCCCCTCCCTTGAAGTCCTATGTTCCACTGGAAATGTAAAGCAATAAAAATTGCGAGCGGCATTGGTGTGCACTGATAAAGAGATTGGTGTCCGATGCTTCTTCGCTTTTGAATGATTTATTAACCAGTATATTGGTTCTTGACAAAATTTGTATCGAACTAATCAGAATCCCTACATAACCCATAATCTGAAATTGAGGCGATGTCTGGAAAAGGTTGTAAATGAAGAAATTGTAATTTTTCGAAGAGAAATTAACAATAAAGTTTCTTTTTTTGTCTTGACAGAAAACTAGGTAAACACTAATAACAAATTTTGAAACTAGTTTAGGACCCTTAAGCAGCACGCATCCACCGGGGTTCAATTGCAGGCCCTTCTGGTTACAAAGCTACCAAGCTAGTAGACCTTAAAGCCACTGGAAACCGATCCAATGATCAATACTAAGTGGTCGCGTTATTTCATGAATTGGTAGAAATGAGAATTCAAGGGCTAATCATTGAATTGGATCCCAGTGGCTTAATGGTTTACGAGCTCATCGACCTTGTAACCGTTCGAACACTAATGGGTGCATACCGATGAAGAGCCCCAGACCGGAGAGACGAAACAGCTGTTCAGTACTCCTTGGTAGGTTTTCCAATGGTTTTCTAACCGGTGTGTCAACTCATGATGAAATCTTCCAACCGATCAAACAAAATCCCTACAAATCGATACTTGACTAAATCTTGAGGCCTTCACTATCACTGTCATATGTTCTACTGATTGGTCAGTATGAGTAGTCTTATACCTCTGAAATAACCTAGTAGTGCTTGTTGGACAGCTCAAACGAAATGGTATGTACACCAGATGACGGTTTCGATGGTTTGGAGCAGAGTTTATCAGCAGTGCACCCAGAGGGTGTGACCACTTTAAACCACTGTCATTGTCGATAAGATCACCATGAAAGATCACATGTATGTTTTATTTGTCTGACCACTTACCACTTGACTGCCTATCTCTGTGTTTCTCTGAAATGAGTTGAATGAATAACCTAGAATTTGTCACAAAAGTAAATCAATTCAAGTTGTTATTCTTTGGAGATGAACATAAATGTGCTGAAATTAAAGTGAATCGCTACGCATAGCAGACAGAATAATCAGATGGGGGTTAGTGAGAATTTTCAAAACTCCTGTGATCAAAAGGATTGAATAGATTTTATTCACTGGGAAAAGTTTTCAGCTATAGCATGAACATTCTTCAACTGTTAGTTCTTAGCATCTCAATGACCCTCAGCAGGTGGTTCACATCTTTCTTTAGTTTCTCAAATGAACAGATGTTGACTATATGGATTTCTGCTAGGCTATCATTTAACCGCTTTTAGCACTCTTCAAAGTTAACCCCAATTTAAACAACGCCATTTGTTAAGGAAAGTATTAATTCAGCTGGATTAATATATATGTTCTAGCTACAAGAACTCACCCATTGGCTTGCCTTTCTCATCTAACACATCATCTAGTTGGTTTTATTACTGATGACTATATATTGATTTGCTTACATATAGTCAAAAGCCTTTATACCTCCGTAATATCTGCCTTCGACAGTCGTATCGAACACTTGTGAAGTAGGAGGCGGTAGGCTTCTGTACATCATACGCACCCTTTATGGACAGCCGGATGTTATACATGCACCAAAGATAATGTAAGTCGACGAATGCTAATAGGACCCTTCTATATCTGATCTGAGATTTTGTTAGTAGTCAGCCCATTATGTCCGATGAAACTTTTCAAACACATGAAGTGGTCAATACACTTAATTATCTCACTACTCATCATGAATCTATAAGTTGGTACAGACAGGTGCTGCTATACGATCTTATCTTGACAATGGGCAAGCTTTATGCTAAGTATACTCAGAATTTCCCTTATTATATTCGAAGGGATTGTGCATTTCGACATTATCTTCACCTAGAAGGACTACATTATCTGCATTCCCTTTACTAAGAAGATTTTCTTAACTTACCATGTAGTTACTTGAAACATTGAAGTGAGCCACGGTAACGTTCATCAGGATATCTTTGACAAAATTAAATGAAAGTGCAGATAAAGGGCATCCCTGACTGACATTTGTGGACACGTCATATTATATAGCTTTCAGTATTAGATGGTTGGAAGCAATCGGCCACAGGAAGCCTTTGACCTAGGTTTCGTGCTAGCTGGCACTCACCAGTCAGTTAGTAGGGTGTATCTGTGACCTTAATTAACTCAAGTTCCTTTATGAGACTCGAATCCGTGTCACCCAGTAAGTACTGCAGTCGAAAAGATTACCACTAAGCTATCAGGGCTCGCAATGAACTCATGTAAGACTGTAGTGGATACTTTGATTGGACGCTAGTAACTAGTTTGATGTGTCTAGTCATTTTTTTTTTGGTGCAGACTGAATTCTATCAGTCAAGTTTTCAATGTGGCCACCATTCTAGGTAGCTTGGCATCACGGTGTACATTGATTTGATAATATTAGATAATTAGAGGCAGTCGGCTATAGGAAGCCCTACCTGACCTAGATTTTGTGCTAGCTGCCAAACCTGACTGATAGAATTCAGTCTGCACCAAAAACAGGACTAGACATGACAGAGTAGTTACTAGTGTCAATCAGAGTATCCACTACAGTCCGACGGGAAGTCAATCACGAGCCCAAATAGTTTAGTCTCTGACTGCAGTACTCACTGGGTGACGCGGATTCGAATCTCAGAAAGGACATGAGTTCTTTCAAGGTTGGAGATACGCCTTGCTGACTGACTGGTGAGTGCCAACTAGCATGAAACCTAGGCCAGATAGGGCTTCCTGTGGCCGAGTGCCTCCAACTATCAATGTATAGCTGTCACTGTCAGACAATTCTACAGATCTGTTGATCGAAGAAGTCAAATACAACCATCAGAACAAGAAATATAGCAGGTTTTATATGCCAGCAATTATGCTTACGTTCCAGAACCTGGATATGACTAATTCGCCCAAAATATTTATCAGTTTTCTTGGTTTTTCTCTTTGGGGTTGATAAGTCTACACAAACCATGGAACATAGAGTCTTAGATAGAATGTCAGCCAACTGACCTTCTGTAGTTAACACAAGAAAAGTTGTATGCTTATATCGATGCGTATCTTATCTAAAGGGTCGAAAAGAACACTATCTCATATGATTGGATAAAGGCAGTAGTGGCTGTATAATGAGGGAGATAATTGAAGAGTAGTCATCTCTCTCTCTCTCAACAAACGCTTCGTTCAAAGTAATCTTCACAAAGAAGAATAACCTGCCAAAGCATGATGTGCTTTCGTCTCCTTTAGAATACTGCGTTTACAGGCATTTAAATCTATTTGAGAAGTCGAAGCTCTCAATACAAAAGGGGATTATTCAATCAATTGTAAAGTGATCGTAATGGCCCTGTTATTTCCTAACTCCTCTGTTTCATTGTAACTCTTACGTAGGATGACAATGTAACTCATTTCTACGTGTATCCTGACTACAACTCTTCATTCATCAGTTTATTCATCTCATTACGTAACTCAGGCATCCTCATTCAACTTCTACTATGTATTGATGATTGTTAGCGACTATACTTATTTCAATTCATCTCTTTTATTACTGCCCAATTTTTGTGAAAAATTATATATAAATTCGATTGTACAGCAGAAATGAGATTCTTCAATGAACAAGCTGCGTTTATATTCATTAATCGCTTCTTATAGACTGTGATGATCAACTGTCTTCTCTAGTCTGTTGAAATCATTTCGGAATACAAATAAACCAGTTAATCCTTTTGTTGGTCTAGTCAACGGTTCATTATCACTATTATTAAACACCTGTGTTTTGTCTCAATTTAGAGATGTAGAGACAGCCTTTGGATCCTTAGTTGCAGTTCAAGGAATTATGTCTACATGTGAATTCAGACAGTGCTCGGATAGTGAGCAGTTTCAGTGAACTGTCTATCTGAGAATTATTGAGACGTGGTAACCTATATTCAAACCTTTCCATAAACTGTATTCATTTGATAGATTTCTTCACAAACCAACGCCTTTTTCGTCCCATTTCGAGACTCTTCATCGGTTCGCGACCACAAATCTACTACAGATAAAATCCTGGACCTGTAGATTACGAGACCAGGATTGTCGACTAAGTGGCTGAATAGCCAACTAGCTTGGTATTGTAGCCTGAAGGTTCAGGATTTCATCTTTAGTGGGGTCGAACCGATGAAGAGTTCCAAAGTATGGCGAAACAGGTGTTGAGTGCTCTGTGATTTTCAGTGATCTCCCTTATGGATGAGAGCTCATGATGAAATCCAACAAATTTCAATCTTAATTTCCACATATTAGCTTAGTGTCACTTTAAAGTTACTCCACTAACTCAATCGAAGGAGCAAAAGTTAGAATCCGTGACCAGTGAGGTCCATCCAGATGTCACGTGTGAGGATGGATGTCCCACCGACGACACTGGTTGGCAGCTAAATGCATCACGAATTGGTGGAAGTTACAATTCATTAGTGGCCATTAAATTGGGTCCCAGTGGCTGAATGGTACACAAACCAGCTTGCCTAGTAACCGGAAGGTCTTGGTTCGAACCCGGGTGCGTACTGCTGATGATTCACAAACTAGGATGAAACAGCTGCTCAGTACTCCCAGGTTTTCAATGGTTCTCTAACTGATATCAATCCGTGATCAACTCATAAAAAGAAAAAAAAGAAATAAAAATATTTAAACTTACATTCATCATCGTTAAATTTATCCAAATAATCTTCATCATAATAAAAGCCTTTAATTCTGTCTTTTACATCATTTCTCCATCGATCATCATTGATAATATCACTTTCATTATCATTCACATCACCGTCACGTTCATTGTTCAATGGTTCCGCATATTGAACACATTGATCATGTCTGTTAGGATTGAATTTCACTTTTTTAGGGAATATTTTAATTATCTTTGGTTCAACATCAATTTGATTACAAAATACACTAAATCCATTGCCCATTTTATTTTTAAAAAATATATGTTTTCTACAAGTTGCGGTGTATTTTATTTTATATCACCATTATTCATTTTCAATGTTTCAATAAATGCTTAGATAAACTTCATGATTTGTTAAATTTATGTGTTGTCTATCCTTTTAACATGATTTGACCAGTGAAATCAAGTCAAGCCAGTCATTTAATCATCCAGTCACATGATGCATATTATGATCGATATTTATTGATTTTTCTTTTAGTAGTATAGATAGGTGGATGAATGAATGTGTAATATTAAGGTAGATGCCTTTAGGAATGTTGTATAACAAACGTATTCCCTTCCTCTTAATTTGCATGCATTTTGACTACGCTGATTGTTTTAATTTATGTATATTTATTCAGATTAATGTGGGGATAAATAAAAGAGGATTAGGAATCATTGTAATTAAAGAAAGGTTGAATAAGTTATATATTTGTCGAAACCATTTTAGTGGGGACGTGGCTAGCGAAGTCTTACATCTGAGATTATCGAGAGCGATAAAATGGACTTATACTGCCGCCACCCTTTGTTTGTCATTTTCCAGCCGGTCAATTATGATTGCTCAAGGGAAAGACAAGCTACCTAACTGTACCACTTCTATGTGTATCGATAAATTTAGTTGCTTCTGTGGAAAGAACTATATAGAGCGAACAACGAGACAGCTTAACAAACGCATTAATGAGCATCTTCCATCATGGTTTGGAAAAGGTCAGATAACATCTATAAGAAGTTCTACTTTGTCTTATTTGATTGATAGCTATTACCAAGTGGACAGAAATAGTGCCTTCAAAGTTATCTATCGCATTCCATCGAGCCTTTCGAACGGAATCAGAAGCCGTCTTTTACACTTAGCCGAAGCTATGGGAATTAATTCGAGAAAACAATCTAGTGTCTTTGCATACAAAAGAAGTTTATTCTACCTTTGTCTCTTCCTTGCTTGCCTAGGTGAATTCTGATAAAGACCTTCCACCCTTTCTTATTTTGCATTTCCTTCTTACTTTTATGATAATTATTTAAACTCTGATTACCTATCCACTTCATCTTTAGTATTACATAATTTTTAAGATTTGACCTAGTTTATTTATTGAATTGTCTACATATACACATGTTACTATCTTTGTTATTCCTCTTATCGGCACCTGCATACACCTTATTATCAATATTTTGTTATCACTTTAATCATCGTTACTAACTACGTTCAAAACATTAACCACATTATTATTATTATTATTTGATCCACAAAATCACCGTCATTGGTTAAAAAATTTTATATATAAATCTATGTAAATTAGAGTAAAGCCTGATAAAGGGGATCTAATTGAAAACAGCAGTATTTTTCGGTTATATGTCTTGTTCACTTTTAACAGTTTGAAAAAAATTTGGGTATTGGGTATATGATATATTCATTATAATAAAGGTTTTGTTTTGTATTTCCCAATGAAATTTGGTCTCGTAAAGTAATTATTCTATATTTAAAGGGAATTTATATAGATAGACAACAAATGGTGTTGCTATGGGTTTACCAGTCTCCCCAAATAGTCGCCTACCTTTACATGAATAAATTCGAAAATAATATCTTTTCAAGCATACTCACTCTTAAAATATGGTTGAGATATGTGGATGATACTTTTGTAGTACTAAAACGAGATCTACACAATTCATTCCTGGAGAAAATAAAATATGTATATCCCAAAATCCAGTTCACTTCGGAAGCACAGTCAGACATCGGTGAAGTACCATTTCTAGACTGCCTAGTTAAGAAGAGGGAAAAAGAACATTTTAGTATATATCTGTATTCAGGAAGAAAACCCTCTCCAATAAATATTTAGACTTCGGATCATCACACCCCACCAGCACAGATGTGTGAGTTGTTTCAAATCTACTTAGACAAGCACACTCTTTGATGTTAACGGATGAGAAAGAAGAAAGAGAAGAAGAAATATTAAACATTACTGAGACTCACAAGCAAAAAAACTATCCGAGGAACTTCATCAACAAAATCAGCACTGACATTAAATATGGTCGAAAATGCATTCCGAAAACATGGACCTGAATAGTTGTCATTCCATATAGAGCAGAGACGTCCGAGGATATCAGAAGAATACTCAATAAGCTCGACATCAGAGTTTTCTTCAAAACATCAAATACACTGTGAAACCACCGTCACCAAATCTCCAAAGATTCGTTATCCAATTGTGTCGACAAAATAAAATGCTGGCTTGGTTTGTGATGCGATATACATTGGACAAGCATCTTGAGAAATCAAAATCAGGAGAAATGAACACCATGGAACATCTGTACGACCACCGAGAAATCCACGCTCTAGAATCAAGTCACAAAATTGATTTTAACGATATTGAAATCCATGAATAATTCCCATTCGAACATTGGTAGACAGAAGACAAGTAATTCAGCGAAGAGTCTCTTTTCGGCGAATTCATTTTCATAGCTGTACAATCGCAAATATATATGGTTATTTTGTGTGTGTGTGTGTATACATTAATTTGTCAAACGAAAATACAATTAGTAAGTTCAGGTCAATTGGACGTTCATATAAGAGGATAGTAACAAAAGTGATGAGTTGTCATAAATGATTGTTAAATAAGGGTTACGTAATGGCATGAATAGTTTGATGAATGAGTTGTGCTCAAAGGGTGTACATGGAAACAAAATAATATACAGAATTACACAAGGGTTTTAAGTTAGAAAAATAAGCATACAAACAGAAGTAAGGTCAAATCAAACAAACAAACAAAACTTAGGTCAAATCAACGGAGTTGTTACCATGCGAGTAGAAGTGGTTGGATAATTTTCTTTTGTATGCATAGTTCTGGTTCCACCAACTGGATGGCTAGGGCTTCTGTGATGCAAAGAAGACGGAATCGTACTGTCTTTGGAAGGTTGTTCTTCACTTTGTAGATTACTTTGAAGGAGGCGTTCTTTGAGATGGAATGACCAGTGTTGACGAGATGTTCGATTATTGCACTCCTTATATGGCCATTATTTCCTTTCTGTAGCCACGCTGGATAGTGTTCTTTGACCCTTTTTGACAGGATGCGCGCTGAACGACCGATGTACCTGGCTCCACAGCAACAGGTGAACTGATATATACACATAGAAGTGGTCATGTGCGGAATCTTGTCCTTTGGGTTTCTGCAGATCAGCGGGCGACTGGAGAACACTATTCTTAGTGTTGCCGCAGGGGAAGTTCTTCCTAAAGAGGTGGAAATTCTCCTTCTGAGGACGTCAATAAGTATTGAAATCACCATCCAGATAAATTTCAGAAATCACAAAGAACGTCTGATATCATCAAAAGCACTTCATATCAAGTGGAATCCAAATTGTCTCAAATGAATAGGAATGATGGACTAAAACAGAATTTGACCTGGTCACAACACCCCCTCCTCCACGAAATGATGAAATTAACACGAATGTGATAAGCAATTTCATAATGTAAACACACGCTGTTTTTATGATTTTATACATTTGTCAAATCCAACAATCTACACCTGATTTTGTTATCTTTACCAATTGGCCAATTTGACAACGCAAAAGTGACCCCATGCTGTGGAAAAACAGCAATATCGTTTTGTTTTTCATTCATTCATTCATTGGGAAATACAAGAAAACCTTTATTATAAAAAAAAAGTTGAATAAAATCACAATTTCAGTCTGTTTTAAATTTTATTACAATGTATTAGCTCTGGAATATAATTTATATTGGATATACTGAAAAGTAATGGTGTGCTTTGTTTGAGTTTATTGATTTTCACACACACACACAGAATATTTAAATAATAAATAAATAATGGCGTTATAAACTTCACGAAGTTGATATGGTATTCGTTGGTCATTCAGATGATTTTCTATGTGCTAGACACTGTTGGAAAGAAAAGTTTATTTATGGAGACATAAACATTTCACATACTCAAATAAAGTATAATTATATTTCAATAGTTTTACACACAATGATCTAATCCACAATGCTCAAACTTTTAACTGATATTAATTTCACATACTACTAGTTGATTGATATGAGTAGTATACGGCTTCATACTTGTTTTCTGGATTGTCTATTCATAGTGTGACAAGCAGATCAAGTATTTAGTGATTTCAATACCTTGATTATTGAAATAGTGAAGTCTACCCAAACATATCCATGGATTACATTTGATTGGTTGGAAGATTTCTTCATGAGCTGACATCAGTTAGAGAGCCATTGGAAAATCAATCTGTCAGGAAGTTCTGGACAATCAGCTGTTTCGTCCGCCTAGTTTGGAACTCTTCATCAGTACGCACCCACCACCAGGACTCGAACCCATGACTTTCTGGTTACAAGGCGAGCTAGCTTGTAGTCACAGGAAATGTAGATATCTTTCAAGCGAATTGATTTTATATTAGATCACTAACTGACGGTCTACAATTTTCGAGATGAGCCTGCTAACAATTTAATTACTGGGAGAGAATACAGTCAGATAAGCAGGTCAATGAATGAGTGATACAACTCTTCCTATGCGCTGTAATTCGATATTCGCCTTTACTGTTTTTTTGAAATTCCTTAACGTTCTCATTAGAATATCGCGCTTCAAGCGAATGCTAATAGCTTTATCAAAGTAGTAATATTAAACCAGAATTTACAAAATCCACTCAGCTTATATAAATAACAAATTAATCATCGATCCTCAGCATGGGGTTATTTTTCGTTGTCAAATTGGCCAATTGGTAAAGATAACAAAATCAGGTGTAGATTGTTGGATTTGACAAGTGTATAAAATCATAAAAACAGCGTGTGTTTACATTATGAAATTGCTTATCACATTCGTGTTAATTTCATCATTTCGTGGAGGAGGGAGGTGTTGTGACCAGGTCAAATTCTGTTTTAGTCCATCATTCCTATTCATTTGAGACAATTTGGATTCCACTTGATATGAAGTGCTTTTGATGATATCAGACGTTCTTTGTGATTCCTGAAATTTATCTGGATGA